AGGATTGTCTTGGAGATGAGGGGTAACATTATTTTTAATGATATATTTTATTTAATCCATTATAACAAATATCATTTCAACATGAAATCAATATATAAAAACTATTCATGAGATAATTTACATTCTTTTTTTCACACAAATTCTTAGAAATCTGGTCTGCATTTTATGTTTCAGGGACATTTCAGTTTGGACTAGCCATATTTCAAGTGTTTATTAGCCACAAGTGGGTAATGGTTGCCATGTTAGATAGCTCGGGTCAGTATCTTTGTTAAGACAGGTCTACAGCAGCCTTAGGTCTGTGGCTAGTTTCGTGCTACCAAGATCTGGCCCTTCCAGGGTTGGTCCAGTGAGGTCTCTTCTCTATTGTTGGTTGAAACTTTAACGTTTCCTAGCTCTGTGTGACTTTGGGAATTGTTTGACTTATAGCCCCCGAATTACACCCCCACCCCTGCAAGTTGCTCTTTCTTCAGCATGATATTTTGCCTAGCTCTTGGAGTTTCATCTGCACATGCCCATTTAGTATTTGGTAAAAGAATGAAGAGGACTTCCGCACAGATCTCTGGAACTCTCTCTCTGTGCAGTTTCCTCCTTTCCAGTACTCTTCTTTGTAAAGTCCAGCAGCCTCCTCCTGAATTCCAGTCTCTCACTCCCCTACTCAGTGAGATAACTGTGCTCTCCTTGGCGTTCCTTCTCTGCCCCATGGTCTGCAAAGTGTCTCCACACAGCAGGCCTGAGTGATCCCAGGGTTTACCTTACCAGCTTATCTTCCCTGAGAGATCACAATCCGTGCTGTGGTGCGGGGCTCGGGATGGGTGCAGGCTGACAGCCTAATATTCATTATTCTTAAGGCCAAAAGCAGAGGTCCTACTTAAAAAAATGTTTTAGCTGGCTGCAGTGGTAAATGCCTCTAGTCCCAGCTACTCAGGAGGCTGAGACAGGAGGATCACAAGTTCAGCCCAACTTGAACAAAATATCAAGACCCATCATCTACAAAAGAAAAGAAAACAAATACGGTTTTGAGCTTACCTATTAGTTTTACTATCTAGTTATTTCATAATTACTTTGATCTTTATTAATCCCTTCCTACAGTCTTCTTTAATATTATTCTTTTTATAACTTTATTTGTATTCTTATTTATTAGAAATAATTAGGGCTATGAGTTTTTCTTTCAGGGATTCCTTTAGCTATTTCCACAGGTTCTGATATGCAATATTTTTGTGGTCATTATTCTCTAGATAATCTGCAATTTGGGTTTTGCTTTTCTCTTTGACAAAGAATTGTTCCAGAGACTTAAAAAATTTTTGAGATGGTAGAGTTTTATGTTTCAGTTTTCTGGTTTTATTAATTTTAGTTATATTATATTATATTATAAATAAAGTTATCTACGCTATAATTTTTGAAGATGTTTTAAGTTTTCTTTGTAGCTTAATATGTAGTCACAACAAACCTTTGTAAACAAGATGTTATTTACTTTTTACTGTAAATTGTTTATCGACTTTAAGTGAGTCAATGTTATCAATGTGAGTATATAAAATAAATTTAAATTTACAAAAATATAATCGTGTGTGTGTGTGTTTACCCTGGTGTAAGACTATATTTCAAAAATGAGATTTTGTTCTAAAAAATGTGAAAACCACTAGGCAATGTGACCTCAAAAGTCACCTAGGATGTGTAGAATGGGAATATAAATTTGTGCAGGGCCTAGAGTAGAGTGAGCCCTGAGCTGTGTTGAGATCAAAGGATACCCAGAGTATTTTTTTTCTCTCATTTTTCATTCCTTTTCTTTCTTTCCTCTACATAGTATGCTAATAAAACTTCTAGATTACACAGACCAAGGCCAGGTGCTATACCAGTCTGTTATCAACAAGTGAGAGCACATGAAACCGTTTTTAATTGGCCTTAGGAAAAGCAAAGGTGAAATGAAAATTTAATTCTCCTGGACCTTTTTTCAAAATGTATTTTTCCATCTCTACTGTAAAGAGTGAATTTTAATTAGGTTGATTCTCACTGTTTGGCCATGCATTTCTAATCTGTGTTCACTCTTTGGGAAAGAAGAATTTGATGAAAGGAACCGGATAATAATGGAAATCTTGTCTGAGCAGAACAAATTGGAATTATCCAATATGATAAGGATATGAGAAGCATTGAGGCTGACGACTGAAAAAAAACACACCTCTCCCCAAAATGCCACTGTTCTGCCTGGCACAGTCTTGTCCTGGCACAGGGAGAGAGCGCAAGAGCATGGTATGTGCTTTTGGTGCGTCTGGGCCTTTCTGGTGGGTCACTTAATCCTCCACCCTCAATTTCCCCACCTGTAAAATGGGGGTAATAATCTCCACCTTGCGCTATTGTAAGGATTGAGAGAAATGAATTATGGGAAAGTGCCCAACATGTTATAGGGGCTCAGAGAATGAGTCAGAGGAGAATTTCCAAGGAAAGCTCTATGGCTGGGCTGAGGGTGAGGTTCCTAGTTTATTTACAGCTTTGAAAAGAAAGAAGTGGACAGGGGCAGGCATGTATGCGTGAGTGAGAGAGTGTGTGTGTGTGTGTGTATGTGTGTGTAGGGCAGGGGAATCTGTGGGTACATCCTAGTACAGGCCAGTGTTTCTCTGTGTGCCATTCAGGATGAATTTCCTGTGGGATAGAAACAACCAGGGTCTTCTGCAGATGAGTGGATTCAGAGTCCTTATCTGCAGGTAGAAAAGCCCCAGGAGTCCATGTTTACCCCCATTACGCTACTCCTGTGAGGCCAGCTAGGTCCTTCAGCTGAACATAGTGCACCAATGAGGAAACGAGTTAGGAGTTTCTCCAGCAATGCCAACAAGCAGGTCAAGCAGCACACATCGCGAGTGGCCAGGCCTCCCACGAAACATTATTTAAGGTGCTATGTCAAGCTGTCAGAGAGGGAGAAGATACACATCTTGGCTTTGGAGTTTGTGATTTAACAGAGAGAACAGAGAAAGAGAAAACACGAAAGGCACATATGAAGCTAATTTTAAAGATCCAGTGGCCATACAGCTTTTTTTTTCCTAGACAATGTTAAAATCAAATAATTATTGAGGTCGTCAGACAATAGCTCCAGGGTTGTGTGCAGAAAGAACAGTCCTGGCCAGGCACAGGCGCACCTGTAATCCCAGCACTTTGGGAAGCCAAGGTGGGCAGATCGCCTGATGTCAGGAGTTCAAGAGCAGCCTGGCCAACATGGTGAAACCCTGTCTCTACAAAAATACAAAAAATTAGCCAGGTGTAGTGGCGCATGCCTGTAATCCCAGCTACTCAGGAGGCTGAGGCAGGAGAATCACTTGAACCTGGGAGGCGAAGATTGCCAGTGAGCCGAGATGGCGCCATTGCACTCCAGCCTGGGCAAAAAGAGCGAAACTCCGTCTCAAAAAAAAAAAAAAAAAAAAAAAGACAGTCCCATGTTTCTATATGCACCATTCAGGATGAATTTCCTAAGCACCTACTGCATTCCCAGAATTAGGAGTACAAGCTCATGGGCCAGGCAGATCAGGATTAATTTCCAAGTCTGTCACTAACCATTTTTAAAAAAAATTGTATATACTTAAGGTGTGCAGCATGATGGTTTGATATACAAAGTGAAATGATTACTACAGTCAAGCAAAGTAACGTGTCTGTCACCTTCCACAGTGACCCCTTTTTGTGTGTGTTGCACCTAAAATGGACTCTGCAAATTTGCAATCTACGTTGCAACATTATTAACTATTGTCCTGTGGCTGTATGATAAATCTGTAGACTTATTTATTTTGTCCTTTGACCTACATGTCCCCATTTCCTCTCCTTCCCCGGGCTTGGTAACCACCTTTCTACTCTTTGTTTCTATGTATTTAACTTTATTTTAAGATTCCACATCTCAGTAAGACCTTGCTCTTCCTCACTCTTTTATGGCCTTGGGGAAGCATAGGTCCTCCAGGCAGCAGAATTGCTTCTTAAAGTGATTGCATCTTTGTGGCGACTGGTTTAATTTAGAGATGTTCTCAGCGCAGGACCTGCGGGCTTGTGCTAGGCTCCTAGAATGTACAGATAAAGGGGATCCATGTTCTTCCTTCGAGGCAGAGGTTCTGACTTTGTTTGATTTTGCCACTCCCTGGCAAGGGGCATTTAGCAATGTCTGGAGACATTTGGCTGTCCCTATGGGTGTGTGTATGTAGGTGCTAAACATCCTGCAACGCATAAGGCAGCCTTCCTCGCCCTTCATTGTCCATTTCCTCTGACTGTGGAATTACAAGACGAAAATGGGTCCATTCGAGGGAAAAGGTCATGATCCTTAATGCTGTTTTTACATGATGGCCTTGTCAGAGCCTTCAGCCTCCTCCCGCTGTCCTCGAAGTTCTCGGCACAGCTGCCTCCGGAGGGCATGCTTCCCACCTGGGGCTTCCTGGCGGAGTGCCATCCTCATCCATATACATGTCCCCAATTCAAAGACGTCCCGCTGCCGGGAAAGCGGCCTGCACCTTGGAGCGAAACTGAAAGGATAGACCCCGAGGTCTTCGCGGCCCTCCGTGGGAAGGCGAGGCAGGGCCCTGCGCGGAACACCGGGAGGCTCTGGGGAAAGGCAGGGCTTCTGTGGGGGATCCTGAAAACCTGCTTGGGGCCGACTTCCTGGAGCAGCGACTACAAGCAGCGCAGAGCCCAGCTGTCCTTGGCAAACGCCCCACCGAGAAGGCGAGCGCTTGCTGGCTCCTCTGGGACGCCCGGTCAAGCCATCCCCAAATGGGCCGTGACCCCGCCTTTGAAGGGGGCCCCCAGGGCAGCGGTGGACGTGGGGGCAGGGCGGGCGAGGGGAAGTTTTTCTTTCTCCCAGCTCGGGAGGGCTCGCCAGCTTCCCCGGGGCTTCACCTCCTGGGACAGCCTCGGGTTGGAGCGCCGCTGCTGGCTCTGCCGCGGCCGCCTGGGTGACGGAGGGTGGGGCGGGGGTGGGTCGCTAGTAGCTCGGGAGCCAAGATCTGATTTCAGGGACCGTGCCTATGTGCTGAGTCAAACCCCGCCGCTGGGCTGGGTCTGCAGCGGGGCCGCTGAGCACAACCCGCTGTGGTTAATGATTAATCACTGACCAACCCGCCTCCCGCAGCTCGGGTGGACCGGGTCGCTCCTGTGCCGACAGCTGGAAAGGAAGGGGAGGGCTGCCAGGCAGAGCGCGCCCTAGGCGAAGAGGGGCTGAGGCTAGCGCCAGGGGCTGCTGGTTTCACTTCCAGCAAGCCAGTTTAGAACGTTCTTCCTCCGCCCTCTCCCCACCTCGCCCCCGCCACATACACCCAAACCCCAACACCCAGGCGCCTCCTGGGCCTCTCCCAGGTTGGGCTGCTCCAGGAAGTTTTCATGAAAGCACCTGCAGGAGAACTCGAGTGAGATAAAGTCGTGCGCCCACGCAGGTGAGTTTGCAGCCAAGAACTCTGGGCTCTGCTGGGAGGAGAAAGGGAAGTTGAGGAAGTCTGTGGACCTGGTAGCCTGGTGCTCTTTCTCATGGCTTCACCCAGCAGCCCCGGCAGTGACTGCTCCCATGTCATTGATCACAGTCATGTCCCCGAGTTCGAGGTGGCCACCTGGATCAAAGTCACCCTTATCCTGGTGTACCTGGTCATCTTCGTGATGGGCCTTCTGGGGAACAGCGTCACCATTCGGGTCACCCAGGTGCTACAGAAGAAAGGATACTTGCAGAAGGAGGTGACGGACCACATGGTGAGTTTGGCTTGCTCGGACATCTTAGTGTTCCTCATCGGCATGCCCATGGAGTTCTACAGCATCATCTGGAACCCCCTGACCACGCCCAGCTACACCCTGTCCTGCAAGCTGCACACTTTCCTCTTCGAGGCCTGCAGCTACGCCACGCTGCTGCACGTGCTGACGCTCAGCTTTGAGCGCTACATCGCCATCTGTCACCCCTTCAGGTACAAGGCTGTGTCGGGACCTTGCCAGGTGAAGCTGCTGATTGGCTTCGTCTGGGTCACCTCCGCCCTGGTGGCATTGCCCTTGCTGTTTGCCATGGGTACTGAGTACCCCCTGGTGAAAGTGCCCAACCACTGGGGTCTCACTTGCAACCGCTCCCGCACCCGCCACCATGAGCAGCCCGAGACCTCCAACATGTCTATCTGTACCAACCTCTCCAGCCGCTGGACCGTGTTCCAGTCCAGCATCTTCGGCGCCTTCGTGGTCTACCTCGTGGTCCTGCTCTCCGTAGCCTTCATGTGCTGGAACATGATGCAGGTGCTAATGAAAAGCCAGAAGGGCACGCTGGCCGGGGGCGCGCAGCCGCCGCAGCTGAGGAAGTCCGAGAGCGAAGAGAGCAGGACCGCCAGGAGGCAGACCATCATCTTCCTGAGTGAGTCCCAGGCCGGGGGCAACGCGTGAGCAGCTTCCCAACCTTTCCCCCGACCCGTGCCGCTGTTTGTGGCTCTCTCCAGGGGAAGGCTTGCCCTAGAATTGCACACTTCAGTTCACTGAAGTGGAAGGGTCTTGTAGCAGAATGAGGGCATTGCTCTGGGTCTCTGGGTGTTTCTTCTCTTTGTTTTGGGAATTCATGGTAGGTTATGGTTAACAGGGCACTAGACCAGAATTCAGAAGGTCTGGATGTATTCCATAACATCACTGCTGTGACCTTTGGGAAGTCACAAAAAAATCTTTGGTAAAATGGGAACAATAATACTAGAGAATATGAGGGACAAATTAGGTAATGCAGGAGAGGTGAAAGTCCTTTGCAAAAGACCAAGTTCTGCAGAGATAAAGGGAACCGTCTTATCTGGCTCTTTTATCGGGGGAAGGCTTTCTTGTTCAATTAACTTTTGTTGGCCGGGCGCGGTGGCTCAAGCCTGTAATCCCAGCACTTTGGGAGGGCGAGACGGGTGGATCACGAGGTCAGGAGATCGAGACCGTCCTGGCTAACATGGTGAAACCCCGTCTCTACTAAAAAAAAAAATACAAAAAAACTAGCCGGGCGATGTGGCGGACGCCTGTAGTCCCAGCTACTCGGGAGGCTGAGGCAGGAGAATGGCGTGAACCCGGGAGGCGAAGCTTGCAGTGAGCTGAGATCCGGCCACTGCACTCCAGCCTGGGCGACAGAGTGAGACTCCGTCTCAAAAAAAAAAAAAAAAAAAAACTTTTGTTTCCATTTTTCTCCTCCTTTGGAGAAAGCAGGCTGTGAGCAACACACACTCTCCGGCTGCTATTTTATTCCTTGGAGCCTCTCCTACCCAATCTTAAGACGTGGGAACTCTCAACACTCCCCAGGGCTTGTGTTTCTGCCACTAGTGAGTCTGCTCCTTACCAGACCAGAGCAACTTGGCAGGACAGCCTGTTTATCTGATCCAGAAAATCTGGCTTCACCGATTCCTAGGATTTGAATAGTCTCCTCACAGACCCAATTCTTAGGCTTGCTTTCTAAACTTTTGTTGTGATACAAGTATTTAAAGTTGAGGCCTTGTCTATTTAAAGAGAGCCCATAGGTCTGTTGACCCCAGAGCCTTCAGAAAAGGGGCCTACTCGCTGGGAGACAAGGCTTTAATGGAGACACATGAAATGTGTGTGAGCAAAGGGTTTTAAAATATACTTTTTAGCAGAAACAATTAAAAGGGTGTATTGTGGGTGTGTGAGTGTGAGTCAAGAAGGAATAGCTCTAACAAACGTTTCCCTTCTTCCCTCTTCCCTGTCCCCTGTGGCATCAGGAAAAGGATGCTGTTTGTTTTGGTGTGGGCAACTGGGCAGCAGGTTCCAGGGACAGGAGGTAGACATGAGAAAGAGTTGGAAGGCACTTGGAGAGTGATGGAAAGACCTGGGTGTTGTCTCAGACCAGCCCCTGGCTTCCAGTGTGTCGCTAATTGTTAAAAGTTTAGGGTCTAATTTTAAACCCTCTTTATTCAATTTGAAATAATCGCCCTAATAAATTTCAAAGTACTCAGAGGCAGCCATGGATAAAGTGGATGGTGTCCCTGCTTTGTGCCCCCAGGGAAGTGGGCTTTGAGAGCTGTGGCAGGGGCTGTGGCAGGTGACCAGCTGACTTGACTTTACTCTGTGTCTGTGCAAAATGAGAATATTTGGATGCTACTCCGCATTAGGGGCTGTGCCAGGTGACCAATATTTCCATCTTCTAGAGGAGGAATTTGAGACTTAGAGAAGACCTAGTTCAGAATCACCTAAGTGCAGCTCTGAGAGTCCCACTGTGCTTTTCAGGGCAGGGAAATACGTGTCTGTCTGTTACTTTCACAGGTATGTGGTGAAAGGAAAATGAAACAAGGCGGGACTTTGACAAGCGTAGGTGAGCCTGGTGGCTGCTGCCTCTTAGGGCCAGCCGTTCTGGAAGTTGGAGTAGGTAACATGATCTTGGGACGTGGGAAGGGTACCCAACTCAGTCTATCACCCACTGGCTGCTACCACTCAAAATATTACAGGAAAGAATGGACATTGTATTTGCTTAAAGCTTGAATGTTTGTTGAAATGCTAGTTCTCCCTTCCTCCGTAAACATTCCCTTAGGCGTATCTTAAACTGTAAGCTGTAATTTACACTGTAGTGTGAGTTAATTAAATTTCCTTTCTTTTTTTTGATTGGAGGGGACTGGCCTGAGTGGATAAGAATTAGAGGGTAGACAAGCATTAGCAAGTGGTCTTCAACTACCTCCCAGTCTAACTTAGGAATTAAGGCTACCTTTGACCAAAGGGAAAATCACTGATTTATCATTACTCTCTATTTTACCAATCTCCGTGTTTCCTGTATTTCTCTGAGTAGAGGTCTGTTCTTCCTGCAGTGGGTGTTCCAAGTTAAAGCCGGTCTCCATTTGCAGCATAAAAGCAGAATGCTGCAGACTTTTATTTAGAGATGGATAGGATCTTGGAGATCGTCAGATCCCATCAGTAATTGTCTGGAATGAGTTTGTTCTTGCTGCTGCTCTCATTCTTTCCTTCTAGCTCTTTCCTTCTTTCCTATACCAACTGTATATTAATCACCCACTGTGTTCTCAGCATAAAGATGGTTGAATGGCAATCAGGTGCTCAATGTGCGATAATGTCCTGGGGGAATTTACCGTTTGTATTTAGTCCATTTTCTCTGTGGTAGGTTTTCAAAGCAGTTCCCGCAAATGTCCTCCTCTCCCAATGAATTTCAAAGAGCTTTTAAAAATAGGAACCTCACTAATTAACTCAAGTTAGGAAATAAATTAATGGAGTGAAGAGGAAGAAATCATGGCCTGCATTCATCAGATTAATACAATGCAATTTACTTTGTGAGTTTCATAAAACTTGTGCTTTGGGGCATTTTTAACCCAGAACAAATGAACATATAAATTGTTTACAAATCGCTGAATTTAATATAGTAATTTAGCTGTCTTTTTAGTATTTCATTTCCCAGATGGATCAAATTAAAATAAATATTTGCTCATTTCAAACATATTTTAAATTTGATGTGAAATGTAAATGGCGACATATCACAAGTAGTCCTTGGAGCTCTTGAGGCAATAAAGAAAACAAGACTGTTCCCCACTCGTCGTTAAAAATGCTAACTGCTGCACGACAGAAACAAAATTCATAAATCTACCCAAGATGAGGAAGCCCATGTAAAAAATAATAATTTTCCTTTCTTCATCTTTCACTACTGTGCCTCAAGTCTAGGCAATGTGCTCGGCTGGTGAATAATGAAAGCACATTGGGAACTCTGGGAGAGAAAGAGAGGCTGGGATGCCTACTAGCTCTAAGCAATTTACAGGAGAACACAAAAATGATGCAAAAGTGCACATTCCTGGAAACAGCAGTGTCTTGTCTTGCCCCTTCTCAGCCCAGTGACAAATCAGTACTAGACTTGGTTCCTGTTTCAAGGTTATAGCCAGTGTGGCATGGTAATATTTCTCCGATGTCAGAACAGAGGTTGCTGGTCTGGATTTCTGCCTCTTCTGGAGAAAAGGAACTGATAATTTGATTATATGTCCTGTCTCTTCAATGATGAGGATGGTCAAAATGAGGTTTCCTTTCAAGCAAGTCTTTCCGCAGACCTCCCATCTTCTCTTTCTGAAGTCTCCTTTGGAGTTGTTCTCAATGCAGATTGCATCCAGCTCTGTGGACACTTGTGTGTATCTATTGCACACATGGCTTGCTGTCAAGTGTCACCCACTCAAAGTGGAATGACAAAGTAATTTTAAAAATACATAGTTTTAATTTGTATAATAACTTTCAAGTGATTGGGACTCAGTTACAACTACCTCCTAGAGAACTAGAGGGCAGTGATTGGCTTTCAACTATAGTTATGAAAAAAGAATTTTACAATCATGAGGTTATTAAAGAAAAACATCATAGAAGCTTTGTAACTCTAGAATAATTACACTCTTTTGCATTCTGATTTGCTCTCCTGAGTCAGAAGGAAAGGGGAGGAGTTACATCTAGTGGCAGGCATTACACATCAACTTGGGTTGCTCATGTTGAATATGGACATTATTCATCATGTGTGTTTGGATGGAACAAAGGTTAAGAGTTGCTGCTGTAAAGAACTTCTCTAAAAATCAGGTTGACATACATTTAGATGTTCGCAGTGTGGTTCAGGGAGAAGCAAAGAGAAGGAGCTCAGAATCACATCCTCTGGGTTTTTAGACCACAGAATTAGAGGTCAAACCAAACAGGGTCAGGGGAGAAAAAGAAGAGAGGGGAGAGGGGACTGAGATATTGACAGCGGGTCCTCTTTACCTGAGGACAATCATTACCTGAAAAGAACTCGTTGGTTCCCTTAAAGTGGGGTTGAAAACATGTGAAAAGAGGTCTCATTGGGACTTGAAAGTGAAAATTATGAAAAGAAATTTATTTGTATGTTACAAATATAAGTTATGGTTACAACTATATATTCTTATAATGATTATTCAGAATGAATCCAATGTGGCTTGAGGGCGTAATCTTTGTAACAAAACCATCTGATAACCTTTGTGTTTCATTTTCTCAGTAATATTATAAAAAGGGCCTCTCTTCATTCTTTGCTATTTAAATCACCCACATGGAAGCACCTATCCTTGCATTATGCTTGTCAATTTTCTATTCTTTCATAATTATCTGGTCTGATTCGAGCAAACCTTGACTGTCAGTGGCTCGGCATTTGAATCATCTTTTTCTTCAGCTTCTTTTTCATTGACTTCATGAAATTCTGTACCCTGTGTGTAGGCCATAACCAAAAATACAATTACTTTAAAAACCAATCCCTATACTCTACCGTATATTTGGTATTACACAGAAGTGGACGCCTTGAAATGCTTTGAAAGTGCCCATGAGAATTTTTAGTTATTTTCTTCACTAGGTTTAGTTATTTTCTTCACTAGGTTAAATGCTGGTCTTACAATCATGTTTTAATCATGAGTTTTCTTGGCAAAGGCTTTTTATTTGATGTAAAAGGATATGTCAACACAGTTTTTGAGGGAAACACCTTCAAAATTAAATTAGTGACTTTTTTAGTGTAAGACATTATTTTGACTCAAATGTTTCAGTATTTCAGAAAAAAGTTTTGCCTCAAATATTCAGATTATCACCTCTATTCCCTTTTCCCTTTATTGATGTATATGTGGCTATAATGATATTTTATGTTTATTTTTCTCTTTGTGATAGCTGTCATAAATTGCAAGTGTCCTGTGATCAGCCTGGCAGACAAATATCATAATGCTGCGTTATTTTTATAATTAGGCTGTCTCAAAGATTTCATTTCTCTGTTGGAGAGATGCATAGTTTCCGAGGAAGGGGAGACTGGAATCCCAGTCCCCACTGATTAGCATGCCTGTTCATCTGTCAGCCTCCTGGGGGATGCTGAAGTGTAATAAGAAAGCAGAGGCCTCAGTTGCACAAAGCATTTGGCTTATTAGTGCTAAAACCATT